TCTGCATCCCCACTCCAGGGAAGGGACAAGCACATCTTCGTTTCCTGGCAGAACAGGTGATGCGCTTCATCGGGAGAGCTTGGCTAGTCAAGAGTGATTTAGAAAGGAGATGGTGAACCTTCTATGCGCATGTTGCTGGAAGTGGTGCAACAGGCTAGGCAAAGGTTGGGATTCCACACCAACTTGGAGATTAGCGGCCCGGCAGAATCCAAGAGCAATGGAAGGGTCGAGAGGGAGATTCAGACGGTGAGAGGCCGAGCACGGACTATAGTACATGGGCTCAAAGAAGGTTGCCAAATCCAAGTGAAGCCAAGTTCACCAGTTTTCCTTTGGGCAATGAGACATGCAGGTTGGCCCTTGACTCATTACCGTCGACAAGGTGGAGGGCCAACAGCATACGAAGCCAGGACAGGACGCAAGTATTGCGGCAAGGTTGCAATCTTTGGTGGAAGAGTTCTTGCCATAGAGAAGAGAGTGAATGGCAGTGACAAGTTCGAGGCAGGAATATGGCTGGGAAAGACAAACAGATCTGATTTTCACATGGTGGCCACAGCTTCAGGGTTGAAGTGGACAAGAACAATTCGAAGGCTTCCCACGCCGTTCGATGCAGAGGCTGTGACCTATGTGAAGTACTGGCCATGGAATGTGGGATTTGGGCAGATTGGAGCAAAGACATCACCGTTGGTTAGCAAGCTTCCAACTGCACCTCTCCCACCAGCTCTCGCACCAGCTATCCGGGCAGAAGAAAAGAGACAAGCCCGGGAAGAAAGAATGAAGCAGAAAGTTCCAGGGATTGAGGACAAGGCTGCAGAAGGTGAGGAAAGAGAAGGAGGTCAGAGTGAGGCAGGGGTGTCTGAGAGAAGAGGGAATGAAAAGAGGAAAGCCGATGATGAAGACTCACTTGGTGAGTACACTCCATCAAGCCCGCATGAGGAAGAGAGCGTTGCAATCAATGATGACACAATGCTGCAAGATTTGCTTGACAGTTTGAAGCGCCTGAATCAAGTCCAAAGCGAGCAAGCAGCGGCGAAGAAGTTGAGGGGGAAGCACCAAAGAAGATGCCTAAGGCCATGCCCCCAAAACAACCTCGACGAGAACCTGGAGGAAGAGAAGGAGACAGGGCTCGATCGTCAGTGAGGGTGGTGAGAATGGTCGTTGGAGGCGAGTTGCTTGAGGATGGAGATGAAAGCATTGAGCTTCCAGATCAGCCACCTGAATTGAGTCCTGAAGAGTTGGCTGATGTCGAAGATGAAGCCACAGTTGAGGAGGTTCAGAGGTTGATTGGCATGGAAGTGCTGATGAGGCCTGAAGAAGGAGAGAACATGGAAGAAGTGCCATTGTTGACAACAAAGCTTGTTGGAGGTGGCGCGAACAGTATTGAAAGAGGCGTGCTCGCCTAGTGGCATGAGACGTTGCATGGTGCGACCCAAACAGAACAGATGTTTTCGCACCAGCAGGAGGGCATTCTTTGTTGAGGTTGGTGCCAGCGATCTGCTAAGTCAAAGGCTGGAAGATGATCACGATGGATGTGAAAGATGCCTACCTACCTGATGTGCAGTCAGCCAAAGAAGGTGAAGGTGGCACTGGACAAGGCCTTGGCAGACAGGTTGAACCTTCCACAAGAGTGGTTGCTAGGACGAATTCTCCCAGGACAGCGAGAAGGTGCAGCCCAATGGTTCCAGGAGTTGAAGAAGTGCCTCATTGAGGCAGGGCTTGTGCCATGTCCTGAAGCTCCAACGTTGTGGAGAGGAGAACAGTTGATCTTGCTGGTCCATGTGGATGACATGATCATTGGTGGGACCAATGAAGCGGTCGCAAAGATCACGGACCACCTGATGAAAAGGTACAAGTACAAGGCGTCGATCGAAGAGGGTGAGAACTTGAGTTTCCTCAAGAGGACCATCAATGTGGATGCCTCGACGACGAAGATCATGGTGAACGAGAAGTACATCCACAACTTGGTCAAGTTGATGAGCCCTCTGAGACGGTCAAAGACAGTGGAGGTCGATGGAGCAGAGATGAAGGAGAGCGATGAGAGGAGGACAACCTACCGGTCAGCGGTGGGGACTTTGCTCTACATGGCAGGAGATCGGCCAGACATTCAGTTCCAGGTGAAAGAACTGGCGAGCAAGTTGCAGAACCCTACAGAGAAAGCATGGTTGAGCTTGATGCGACTTGTTGGGTATCTTGCAATGACAATGGACACCCATGTTGTCATGAGAAGCCAGGTGAAGAACAACTCGTTCAGGAACAGAGCAAGAGGGTTGACAACAGCACCAATGTTTGAGGAGCAAGAAGATGCATGGTTGCTGGAAGTCACTTGCGATTCAGACTGGTCAGGTAACAAGGCAACAAGGAGCTCAACGTCTGCAGGGTGCATTTTCTTGGCTGGAAACTGGATCCACGCCTATGCAAGGACACAGAAGAACATCACGCTTTCAAGCACGGAGTCAGAGTATGTTGCAGTGGTGTCAGGTGCATCAGAAGGTTTGTTGCTGAAGGCGGTGATTGAGCACCTCACAAGAGAAGGTAGTGTTGGTTGTTGACAGTGACAACAGTTCAAGCCTTGCAATAGCACAGAGAGAAGGTGTTGGAAAGTTGAAACACCTGAGTGGGCGGCTCCTATGGTTGCAGCAGAGGCAAGGAAGAGACCTGGAATTGAGGAAGCTGGACACAACCACAAACCCGTCAGACCTAGGCACGAAGTCGTTGACAGGAAAAAGAGTGAACATGTTGATGTTCTTGATCGGCTTCACGAATGAGGAGAACGACCTTAGCACAGAGGATGAAAGCAGACCAGAGGAGAAGACTCAATGAAGTGAGAAAGATGGTCTATGTAGAAGAAGGGTCACCAGAGAAGTCAACACAGTCGAACCAGTTGGCCAAGAGATTATTGCGGCTCACAATGACAGCACTACTAGCAGACTCAGCCTTGGGCCTGGTTGCGGTGAAAGAACAAGATCAGTGCTTTCCAGAAGATGAGCCACAGCCTCAGTCAGATGGACTACTGGGACAGAGACACTTGAGCAAGTGGTGATGGGATTAACGATTGCCATTGTGATCTTGAGCATCGTTGTCCTGATCTTGCTATATAAAGGCATTGAAGAACACGTCAAGGGAGTTGAGAAGACATGTAAACTCTTGGGACGAATTCGCAATGCGGTTGGCGAAGAAGACAACTACACATCAGATGAAGATCAAGAGAGGATTGACCTGAGTTTGTGGAGTGCTCCCAGGAGGTGGCAAGAAGGAACAGATTGGCAGAATTGGTCAAATTGGCCATCAGGCAATCAAAGAAGACATGAGAATGATGAAACAAAGGATGAGCCTCGCCAGTGGGTCAACTGGGCTGGAGACTCCAGCCTGAGCTTCAGAGATGTGGTTGGCCCACCATGGGGCGAAGAAATCGAAAAGGAGGCAGAAGAACAAGATGTAGAAGTGAGGAGAAGTACCTATATAGATAATGATGGGTACATCCACGAGACCGAAGTGCGTGTGAGAATGGTGAGTATGGAAGAGGACACGTCTTCAAGTGAAGAAGACGAAGACGAAGGAAGTGAAAGCGAGGTGAACACCGACTATGGAAGCCTTGCTGAACACTTGGAGGCAGACAGCGAAGATGAGTATATCAGGCTTGAAGGAGAAGAGTACCAAAGGTACAGAATGGAGATGATCGAGATCGATAGAGGCATCGAGGTGTACCTGATCATGAAGATCAGAGAGTTCACAGACATGATCGAAGAGGACCCTGGAGATGAAGACTTACCTGAAGGCCTTCAAGAACCTGCAGAGGATCATCATGATCCGCGGTCCAGAAGGAAGGAAGATGGTGATAGATCACCTGAGATGCCTGAGACAATACATCTTCCACGTTCGAAGGGGAGACGAATCAATGGACATCCCATTGGGGAGAAAGCGAATACCCAGATGGTTGGGTAGCGGTTCATTATCGACCACCGCTACCACCAGATGAGCGTGAAGGCGATAGATCGCCAGAAGAAAGCAGAAGTGGAGATTATGAAGAAATGTCACCAAGAGCGGCAGAAGAAATGACTGAAAGGCCAGAAGAAGAGATTGATGAACCCGAGCCTGAGAACTGAGTAAGCGCACCTATAAGGTGAACGCCGAAGTGGTTCAAAGGCCAGCTCAAGGAGCATGCCTTTGAAAGGCAGGGTGTAAAGACATGCCCAGACCTGATGACTGCTTATGTATAGGCTCAAGCTTTACAAGTAAAAGGAGCGCTTTTGACGAGGTCGCGCTGTTTTGCGCATAATTAGTTTGGTATATAAATCCACGTAGGTGTGAGTTGATAGACACCAGAGGCTAGTCCGGCACAGTCAATTTTACCATGCGATTGCTGACAACAGTATTCTACAGGGCAGTGTCCCCTTTCTCCTCTAAATTGTATTTTCTCGCAGTACGCTACCTTGGCCGTTGGGTGCCTCACAAAAGGTATGTGGCACCATCCTCCTCTAAATTCCAATTTCGGATGGGTCACAAATCACAAAAGGTATGCTAGATTTTTATTCGGTGGTGACTGACAAAACGCATGCTACCTTGGGCCGGTACCTCCTCGTTCAGTTTTACCGCCAGAGGGCTTACAAAAGGTACAAGTCGCCACGTCGCGATTCTCATCTACAATTGTTGGATTGCTCACAGAAAGTATGCTGCTGCTACATGGCAATGGAATGTTAGTTTCACAAAAGGTATGATACTTTGGAAGGACCACACGACCAAAGACCAAAAGATCAGGAGGGGACCAGCAGACCACACCAGGAGGTATAAAGGACCAAGGGATCAGGGACCAAAGGCAGGCGACTAGGACCAAGGGACCAGCTCATCAGGTCATATTTTTCGTTTAATGAATTGTTGTGAAATTCCTACACACGTTTACATAAACCCCATTGCTCAGGAATTCCAATTTACAGGTCAATGTTTTGTTGTTTTGTCACTTCGAAAAACACACCGCAGCCGGCATTCTGAAGTGCGCGCCAAGTTTCCTCGTCTCAGAGAAGCACAACTGCCACCCTGAGGCTCTAAGGTTGCTTCCAGATGTCCAACTTATTTCGTTGGCGCTGACGACGTTGCCTTGTGGAGGCGGGGTGCCCGCAGTATAATACGTGCCTCCAATGGTCAAGCGGCTGAAGTGCCACTCTACATCAAATCGGGTGATGTAGATTGGATCCTCGGAAGATGCCCAAATGTTGCAATCTTCATCGTTCGGATAATCTGCTGGAAAGTTTGGACTTTGGACACAAGCACCTGTAGATGTGCAACTCCCTGTCCGGACTGCAAAAGATTTCTTTGGGTTCCTTGGAGCAGCAAAGCTAACCGCGCTACTCTGACTCTCGCATTGCGATAGCAACAGAAAATTATACAAGCATAGACCCCAAACAGTTTCAAAACGATTCGTTTAGACCAATATTAGTCAAAAATCGATTTCTTGGTACGCCCTACTTTCACCCCAAGAGCAAACTGTTTCATCAATGAATTTTTGTCGGCATTGACATCGCTATTTGTTCGGCCACACTCCTCTCCAGTAAGCCGGGCCACAGAGACCGGCCACAGAGTTCAGGGGCGCGGCCAAGACAAGGACAAGAGGAGGAGGACAAGAAGAGGACAAGGCCCAGCCACAGAGCCCAGCACAGAGGACAAGAGGAGGACAAGAGCCCAGCAAGCCGTGCGTAGCATACGAGCGCGCGCTCGCCCTGCTCTCGTTCTCTCTCGTTCTCTCTCTCTCTCTCTCTTTCTTTCTTTCTTTCTTTCTGTCTGTCTGTCTTTCTTTCTTTCTTTCTTTCTTTCTGTCTTTCTTTCTTTCTTTCTTTTTCTTTCTTTCTTTCTTTCTTTTTCTTTCTTTCTTTCTTTCTGTCTTTCTTTCTGTCTGTCTTTCTTTCTGTCTTTCTTTCTTTCTTTTTCTTTCTTTCTTTTTCTTTCTTTCTTTTTCTTTCTTTCTTTCTTTCTTTCTTTCTTTCTTTCTTTCTTTCTTTCTTTCT